GCTCTCTCTTGCCAATGACTCTTATTACGGTACCAGGGAAGCACACATGTTGTCCATTTCTTCCAGGTGCGTTTTTTATTCAAGTCCCACTGAAATTACTGGAAGAAGTCTTGGGGTGTTGGATGAGAACCCAGTATTTTCAAACCTTTTGGAATTAAATGAACACTACGGTTTGTTAAAAGGAGGATGCTGGAAATGAGCCCACACCCAGCTAGATGGGGCCTGAGATAGGAATTTCTGAGGTCAACACAAGCAGGCTTTTGGTTATGGCACCAGTAACACCATTTTAGAAACACTTTTGAATTTCCCATTTGAAAGTTTTCAATGAAATGCTGTAGGTATATATTAGTAACGGCAAGGTATTACTCCAAGTTGGGCTATTGAGTCAGCATCATCTAGCACCATACATAAAGGTGACATTTGAAAAGGGAACAGCTATTGTTGGCTGACCAGCTCTCACAATCAACAGCTCAACTTCAATTTTCTGAGTTTTCTGAGAGCTTTTCATAGGCCATTAACATGCGATTTTAGGGAAGGTACCCAGGATGGTGTTAAATACTGTAAGCTTTACAAAAAGTGTTAAATATAAGATTATTCAAGTGGATAAGCTGACAGTTTTAAATGTGGCTTGCAGTGTGGTAATCCTTTGTTTTGAACACAATATTCAAGAAAATTGAGTTTTTTAATTGTAATGAGATTTTCAACTGACATTTTGAATATCGTGGTGGATCACTTCAGTCCTTTACCATGATATCTGCATTTTCAGGCATGTGGTTTGGCATCTAACGCTTCATCAGGCATAGAAGTTGGTTAGGTCAGTCAAACATTTATACAGCAACAGGAAGTGATTTTTATTTTTGTGACTATGATCAGCTAAAGGATTTGATATTTTCAACATATATCAGTTACTTGAGCAATGTAAAGAAACAGAACCATTTCACAATTCTGATGCCTCTCTCTATTCCTTACAGATGCTCCTCTATTACATTTGATACATTTTAGAAGAAAAGCATCTGACATTTTACAAGGAATAGCCCTAGCAGCAATATAAAGTGCAAGTCTAAACCAGAAAGTTTAAGATCCTCAATTTTCCTTTCTATAAGGTTCCTTTTCTTTTGTTTAGGCATCCAGATTTTTTCCAATGTTTTAAAAATGTTCTACGTATTTAGGGGGGAATTTTCAAAGCCACCGAGACGATCTGGATGCCAGACTGCAGCTCTTTTTGATGAGATCTGAACATCCAAATGCATACACAGACTGAAAATACATTAGGCTTTGTATACATACTAGAGAACAGCTAGCAGAGGTAGCACAGCTAGCAGTTATGCAACACCCAAAATTATGCTCAGTTTGATTCTGCAACACCTTAATTATTCCAACCAGGTCATCTACAGTGACCTAAGCCACATATTGCCATAGTGAGTTGGTTCTGCTGTGCCAGATACTAAAGGCAAGAAGCTGCAAATCGACTTCACTTGCAAAGTAAGCCAAATTCTAAATATAAAACTCCCACTACAGTATATTCAACTATGAAGTTGCGACTGCCTCCTGTTTCAATTAGCATTTTTACAGCATTTTAGGGACCACCATCCTTCATGCTTAGCAAACTGGTGCCAGTTTCCTCTCTCTGAGGATTCCCTTGGGACTTCAGTCCCAGGGACTGGTTTTCGAGGAGTGATGTAGTCAGCACACATTGAGAGAAGATCTAATCTCAATGGCCTTGCATGCCTATGATAGTCAACTGGATTGCCAATTGGCCTTTGACTCCATGAGCTGCAGAAGTAGAAAGCCATACATAGGCACAATCGTCAGTCTAGCACTAGCTGATATTATAGTAACATTTTTTTCTCAGGGCAGCATTTTTTGGCTTATGGGTCTCCCAAAGACAAGAGTTAAACATAGTTCTTCAGGAAGGTACATGTCAGTTAAAGAAAACAAGTGACATACGGCGCAGAGAATAGATGGCAACCAAATATAAATGATAGTAGGAACTGGCATTTCAATAGACTTAGTAATAAGGGCTCATTTTTATCGGAACTATTTTTATCTAAAACTGCTTTAGGAATGAATTCCTGTCTTCAGCTGAAGATAAAACACAAACTTGTGTAAGTAACTAGTGTTTTAAGTATCATTTTAGAAAATAGGTATATATATTTTTATAATCTGTAAATGATGGATTCCCTAAAAATACAAAGGTTTTTTCTCTGCACAGGAATCTGCTTGAACGTCAATTTAATGATTACTAGTGGTAGATGGAATTTTGATATCCATTTGGTAGCGATTTACACCAGTGTTTTCAAGGCTGCCAACAAGCAAATCCAGAAGGCAGGCAGCCAAAATTCCAGAAGAGACAACTGTCTTTTATTTTATGGCTTATGCATTTTGAGCTTAATATGATTTTCCACTAACAAGTTCTGTACCTTCTCCAAAGTGTTAAAACTGGTGTGCAGAACTGCAAAGTAACACAGCCTCTTCGAGGCAAGCTAATATTAAACGCATGGTAAATTACAGAAGTTATACTGTTTACTTAGGGAAAAAAAACAGTAAGGTTGAAAGAACTACACAGGATATATTGCAGACACTTGTTTCAATGGTCACATTTTTAAGCTTGACTATATATATGAAACAACAACGTACCAGCCAAGTGTTGTTACTCATGTGATACAGAATGAGCAAATACATAAGAGACAAGGAAAAGATTGCTGCAACACTTGAACCAACGCATACTTTGTGCTCCTTTATCTCGTGCACTTGATAAATAGGATGCAAGTCATATCTAATCCTTTCAGAAAGGTATCAAAACCAAGTTGCATTTGAAGGAGCAAAAAGAGCACAAACAGAAACAGGGTATACTCACTTTTCAAGCAGAACTATAGGAACTGGGCACACATTAGCATGGTGAGGTCCAAATGTTGTGCTAAATATGATGACTGAATGCCTTCTATTTCTAATGCTAATAGCATTCCAGTTGCAACAGCAATATTAGTGAAGAAAAAGCTACTCATCCACTAGTCTAGACTCTATACATGAAATGAGGCCCTAGGTACCACTTCATATTCATCAATGTAAAAGATAAATAGTTTTGCTGTGTAAAGGGTTCATTCTTCTGCTGATCATCCACCGGAAAGATGACCCCTATCAGGACAGCATGTGCTCATTGCTCCTCAGAGCAATAGCTGCCACTTGGCCATGACCATCTGAAACTGAAATCAGATTATCTAAGTTGTTGACTATATAGAAAAGGTAGTTTCTGCGTGCCATGTGTCTCCTGAAACTGCAACTGCACAGAACTGAGCACAACAACGAACATCTCTCATTCTATTAGAAACTACTTTACAAGTTAAGACATGTAAGTCAAAACTGAACAGGTTGTAGACAGCATAATGTTAACAAGTGGAAAAAAACATTCCTTCTGAAATAATGGCCTTAAACCAATACCCCATGTTCAGATATGAACTGAGAAAGATTACTCCTCTTTGCTTTCCTCTTCCCAGCCCAGGTTTTTGTGTGACTATAAAACTTACCATCCTGTCTCCTTTCTTAGCAACGTTTCTCTACCCTGATGAATTCCTAAACTACGTCTCGTTTCATAGTCCACGGCAGTACAAAGAACAAATACCAGCTTTAAAAGAAGCACTCTTGCATAGCAGCATCGATCCTCTTGCATGACAGTACAGAATGCAGTTGCAGCCTTAGAAACAGGATCTTATTCAAAGACAGGTTATGAAGCCACAGGCTGCAAACCTTGACATGCATGACTGAGGAAATGACAAAAGCTATTGCACACATGATGTTGATCCCGTAAGGTCACTCCATCTAACCACACTGTGTGCTTTTCCACCATCTGTTATGACCCGTACAATATGTCCAACTCATAACAGATTCCCAGGCACCAATCAGACCCCTCCCTGTAGCCTAGTTTTAATACACACAATGCAAATGATTTTTAAATATGCACCGAAGAGAAACCAGAGTCACTCTAGATGTATTTTCTGTGTATTTTATTGATCTGATACAATACACAAGCATACACAGCAGTACAGGCATGTGTATGTGTCTGGATATACATACATACACAAAATGCCATATGTATGATACATACAACAAACAAGGCCAGATTATCTGGTCTTGCAGAGATATGCCCAGCACAGGACCAAAGACCAGGGTGGAGGCACTCAAGCCCTCCAGAGCTGTGATGCTGCCCATCTCTACAGCTGCCTGGGGACCAAGACAGCCTCTGTAACAGGTCAGAAAGACAATAGGTATCTATTTTAGATCTAGGACTAGAGAAGATGGTTGCTTTTATCTTACCACTGGTTATTTTGTTTTCCAAGGGTGATCCATTATTATTCAGATAATCATGACTCTGTTGGCTTTACACCAGGAGATAAACAAAAGTAAGATTCCACAGCACAAAGACAGCTAATAATGCCTACCAGGGAGCCATGGCAGATGATTAAACTGCACCAGGCCCAACAGGTTGTTGGGACCCGGGGGCTGAGATGTGTGACATCTGGGCAAAAACTCCAGGAAGAGCTCAATAGGAATCTTTGCTTTATTCTTTGCCCACCTCCAAACCTGCTGTACTTACACATCCCTCTACTACCCTCTTCTAATGCGCCCAGAGAAGCGGTCAGAACCACCAGCACGCTAATAAAGCTTTTCCACAGTAAAGGATTACCTTGTTATTGACATATTTTATGAGAAAAACAGTAAAATTGGTCAAGTTGGTTATCGACACCTGGCTATGTGATTTACACAGCAAACAACAGTTGTTGGGAGCTGAAAGAGGAGAAGCCTCATAGCCTCACAGTGTATTCTGGGAAGGACAAAATGGATAGTTACCAAGCTTGTGGCTATTTTATATTTTAACTTTTCAGCTCATGAAAACAGAAAGAATACTGGTGATATAGCTCTGACAGGCATATTTTGCTTGTTAAACAATAACAAAATACATTTTAAGCCATATTTTTTACCATAAACTACCATCAGTTAATAACCTAGACCTGAATTTCTTCCTCTGCTGCAAGTTCATGGCTTGGATCAATAAGACATGTTCCTATCATTCTCCCATCAGACATTACCGGAGAAGCAGTAGGTGTCTGCATGGTAAGTAAAGAGAGAGAAGGAGAAAAACTGGGGGTCATGGTTGGTGGAGGGTATCCCAGATTATGGATAAGAGGAGAACGAGGGTAGTTTTTAAATGCTTGCCCTGATATTGTATTTGGCATTCGTGGTGGCACTGTCCTTATGCCAGGCTGAGCTACTGATGTTATCAAGGGAGGAGGAAAAACAAGAGATTCTTTATCCTTAGGAAAGCTATGAATGTGTACGTTTTCATCTTTCAGTTTTGCAATATCATTAAACACTGAGGCAAGAGGTTGAAATCTTGGTTCCCAGCTGAGCACATAATCCCAGTTATAACCACCTCTGAGATCCTGATCAGAGGTGCCAAGAGTTGCAAGCAAATCATACCCAGAGTCCTGCCTATCCGACATCCAAACATATTCTCTTGTGAGGTCTATCATTACATCTTTCTCTTTTATTTCGATTTTCTTAAATGTTTGAGACAACATTTTGTTATGTGCATAAGCCGTTTCACAGGCTGCTTCTCCACCTTCTCCTTTAACGGCCCGCACGCTCTCCATGCTTTGTGTGGTAGCCACGACATCTGTTTCTCCGGACTGACAGGAGAGCTGATCAGACTCTCTTGGGATCCCCGAATCTGGCACCCGTGAGCCGCGCTCACTCAGTGCCGAGCCGGCGCTCTTTCTGCAAGGATGCTCATTGATCCTTTTGATTTCCTCGTCCTCTGCTGTTTCTCCTTCGGCAGAACCGTGGCCACTGGAGTCTGAATGCCTGCAGGGGGCACCATTGTTCTTCCCCTCTTTGATTCCTGCCAAGCTCAGCCATTCTGCTATGGCACCCACGGGAAGCATACTACTCTCAGTACTTTGGATTTTCTGGCAGTCCTTATCTTCGCTGGCTGAATTTGCACCAGTGGCTGAGGAGGATACTGCTTCTTTTTTCACACACGAGTTCATCAGATCTTTCCACTTATGTCTCAGAATAAGCGCAGTAAGACTGACCGCAAGCAGAAGGAACACTATCAAGGAGACCGAAACGCTAATGGTCAGGCTGTATGCTGACACTATGGGATAACTCTCAGGAGAATTGGAAACATTTACCAAAACAGTGCATACTGTGAACTTTGACTCAATTCTGGGGCTATGAGCTCTTAACAACAATTCCAGGGTGTCATCATTCTTTTTGCTGCCATTTTTCTTTCTGTGAACAGGTTGAGTCAAATAAATACTGCCACTGGTTTGATTCACGGAAAAAAAGGGAGAAGTTTTTAGCAGGGAGTAATGAACAACTCCATCCAGTCCACCATCGCTGTCTGATGCTGTCACTCTGCCAAGCAACTGGCCTGCTTCGTTCTTGTCAGGAAGATCAAAGAAATACTGATCTTGAGTAAACACGGGCTCAAATTCATCTCTCCCTTCAATATCTACCTGAACTGTAACAGTGGCCAGTGAGTCACCCTTGTCTTTTGCTTGGACTATGAGACAGTACTTATTCTGACTTTCGTAGTCAAACATTTGCTTTGTATGAATATCTCCTGTCAGAGGATCGATGAAGAACATGTCATGGTCTCTAGGAGCTTCACGATGAGCCAAACACGAAGACTGAATGGAGTAGGTAAGGTGGCCATAGGGGCCTTTATCAAAATCCAGTGCATTAACAGCACACACAAAGGAAAAGGTAGGCAGATTTTCACTGACAAAGCAGCTCAGGCTGGGAAACAAAAACAGTGGGGCATAGTCATTGTCATCTAGGACGCTGACAAGGACAACAGAAAAAGCCACGTTTTTTACATCAGCTCCTCCATCTGTGGCCTGAATGATCAAAGTGAATTTCATGGTATCCTCATAATCCAGCGTTTTCATCAAATCCACTGATCCCATTTTCCTATCCAAGCGAAAATGTCCCCTGTCATTTCCAGAGATGATAGCATAAGTGATCTCTGCATTAGTGCCTGCATCACAGTCATTTGCTGAAACTTCAGTGACGTGACTACCTACAGGGATGCTTTCTTTGACATGAATATGGTACTCCGGGCTGCTAAATACTGGAGGATTATCATTAACATCCAGTACAGTTATAAGCACAGTAGCAGTTGAATTCAGGGAGGGCGTTCCACGATCAGAGGCGAGGAGGACCAAACAGTGAGAAGAAGCCGTTTCCCTGTCGAGAACATTGCTCAAAACAAGATTGCCAACAAGCTTGTAGGATGTTTCTGACTCCACGACAGTTGTTTCAACAGAGAATAAACTGTCAGAATTCCCATCAATAATAGAGTATTCAACATACGTGTTTTCATGTGTCCAATCATAGTCGATGGCTGAAAACGTGAGGATGCTTTCTCCAACCGAGGCATCCTCGCTCACACTGAGATTGTACAGCACCCTTGTGAACTGAGGGGCATAGTTATTTACATCTTCTACGTGCACCTCGACAGAGGTCACTGCACTCAAAGCAGGACTGCCACTGTCCGTGGCTTCTATTAGGAGCTGGATAACGGGAATCTTTTCCAGCTCTATCACTGGTCCTGTAGCAAACACTGAACCTGAAAATAAAACAGAATTAATAAAACCCCACACTCACTAAGGCAAGTAAATGTGATTCCAAAAGCTGAATCTAATCAGTCATATTTGAAAATTACTCAAATGTAACAGCTACACACCCCAAAGCAACTCTAAGAAATCAGGGCTAATGCTGCCAAGCCTACTCACAATAATGTATACATGCTGCATTTAGACTAGCAAAAATTTCTCTTCTTTGTAACACGCTGTACATGCCAACTGCAGAAAACAAAAAGGCAAAATAAAGCTAAGGAAATACAGGCTATGCTGTGCAAGTTCATTACTGAAGGTTGTTAGTTCTCCTTGTTTTTCTTGCAATCCAGTAACAGCATTATAGGCATGTTTGTTACTTAGATAGATATGTCAGTAAGTTATATAAACATGTTCCTTTCAAATTGCTTATCTAAACATAAGGGTTGGGCTAGATGATCTTTAAAGGTCCCTTCCAACCCAAACTGTTCTTACTACATGTTCGTAAACCATCTAACCTCTCCTTCACTCTTCAGGGTGTATAGCTAAGCACCACAGAGATGACGCTGTGTGACAGCTTTCTGATCACAGTTAAAAATGACCATTAGCTAAAGATAAAGACAGGTTGGTGAACACAGAGTAACAAAACAGCTTTTAACTGGGTGAGACATTCATATTTTCAGTGTTTGTAGTTACCATCACCCAACAAATACCGTCTTCAAAAACTCACCTCATGTAAACATCTGGGAACAGCAAATAAGTACCAAGAACTTGCCCACTGAACAATAGTTACATATCATTTTTGCAGTATCTAGTAATCTCTGAAGTTGCTATTACCAAATGTACACATTGTATGTACACATGCATATAGACACACACACAGTTTGCTACCTCCCAGAGCACTACAACATTAGGTCAGAAAATTTAAAATGGTAAATCCCCTAACTATTGAAGAAAATTATGGACTTTGGAGAGAACGTTCTCAATTTAGAAAACTTTTAAATTCCATTTAGGATTACAGGATAACATAAGCTCTCTAAAGAAGCAATCCCAAAAACATACTGGCTAAGGTGTAGAGAGGCTCCATTATGAGAAGTTCAACTTATACTGAAAAATATTAAGTATAAACTTAGATTGAATGAAACCTAATACATGAGCTGAAATGTTATGAATGCAAAATGTACAGTAACTTTTCTATTAAATCACATCAGAGGAATAGCACCTACAGGATGTTGTGACTAGCTGCCTCGTGCATGGTTCAGGGACAAACTGAGAACTCTGGTTTTTGGTGCCATCAGTTCCTCAGTGATAATGGCAGATTTAGCCAAAACATATGGCGGCCTTTAGTCATCAAAGATTTCCAGAACTGAAGCGATCACTGGCAACAGGTGAGGAAGTGCAAAGTGGCTCTTCAATTTACACTAAAAAATCTTAAATAATAAACCATGCTTACAGACTCACCATTCTTGTGATCGATGGTGAATCCCTCAGAGGAAGAAAGAATTTTGTAGGAAATCATTCCATTATCCTCCGAGTCCCTATCCACAGCAGAGACTGTCAGAACAGTGGCATCCATAGAACTGAGTTCTGGTAAGCTCACCTGACACGTAAAGAAAAATCACAGTTTTGATAGAGCTTAATAAAAGATTTTGAACATTAAAAATACATTTTCATTCATTTGATCATATTAGAAAGAAAACAAACACAGTTCTGAGCTTTGGAAAAAGTTTCATCTACTTATTTTCTTCTGGGACAAAACTACGAAGAGTTGAGATATTGAAAACAATGAAGATATTGAAAATGATGCATACAATACAGCCAAAATGTATAGTAAACTTTAAACAGTAAAATCCATTTAGTTCTAGTTCATAATGACAATGAGTTCAGTGAATCAACTGAATCTCTTTTTTCAATAGTACACTAATAGAAGGAATATCTACAATGGACTGCAACTAAAATTGGCTTTTCTCTCTGTGTTCAGAAACACTTTGATTTTCATACATGGAATACAGTCTGCAGCGTCTGGAATATATGGTCAACCGTTAGGAAACCCAACACACGTACCCTGAAAATTCCAGCACCAGAGCACTTAATCATCACTGGATTATTCCTATAATTTAGTTTTTAAAAATGCTGCTTTTATTCTTCATATAATCTAGGAAACTGAGAAAGTCCTTTTCCCTTCTTAAGAGCTTCCATTATTGAAGTGTTTTTTAGACAGTGACACAGAATTTCCTGTATTTCCATCTGTGCCCACTGCTTCTTGTCCTGTCATGGGACATCACAGAGGAGAGTCTGGCTCTGTCTTCTTTACTCCCCCAACCAGTATTTATAAACATTGGGAAGATCCTCCCTGAGCTTTCTCTTCTCCAGGCTGCATGGTCCATGCTTTAGGCTCTCTTGGTCCTCAGTTCAAGCCCCACAGCCTAGCCCCACACAAACAAGTCCTAAGGAAACAACTCCTGCGGCAGCCTTATTGCAGTCTCATTTCACCTGGAGCTCCAGGCTTTGCCTCATTCCCACCCCTAACCCTAACTCCAAACCATGACATGCTGAGCCTTAGCCCAAGTCCCACAGCTTCAAGGCTGATGAAGCCAGGGCAAAACTCTTTTAGCAGCCTATCCTTGAGAGCCTTGTATGATGTATGCTCCAATTCCTTTAATCAGTTTAGTGGCCCATAGTTGTCCATAGTCACTAAACCAGCTTTGTTTCAAAACAGTGTTGGACAACTTGACTCCTATGACAGCCTAGCAGTTCAACTGCTTATCTGAAAGTCCAAAAGCTGAGCTCTGTACCCTCCTCAGTCTAGTAGGGGATCCTGGGGAGGTCAAAACTCATATCCCTCACTCCTCAGATGAGTGCCATTGCTGTAAGGCAGGGTAACAGGCAGATTACAAACTATTATGTGCATGACCTAACACAGGAACATTTTCTACACCTCTGTGGAGCCGTGCAACTGAAAATGAAGAAATTCATGCCATAGTAACGGGCCCAGAATAAAAGTACCAACTTGTTTACCATTCTCTCAGAAGAAATAAGTTCTGAACACTGGACCCTGCTCCCCAGTGTATGGAGTACAGCTAGCACTCATATCACTTTCCTTCTGCAGTCAGAAACCATGAACATGAAAACCAAACAATTCCCTCAGTCCTTTTAGCAGAATTCCTAGGATGGGGCTGGGATTTCCCAGAAGAGTTCTGCTCTGTTTCTGCTTAGTAATAGTTTGCAAAGACCTTCCTTCTCAGTGCTCAAACGCACTTGTAAGATAACAAGCACTCCGACTATTTATCATCATATACAGAAAGACATCACATCTTTGTTGTCCATTTGCCACGTCCCCACCTGATACAAATCCTGAGTAAACACTGGTGGGTTATCATTGACGTCCAAAACCAGGATGGTGAGTTCTGCTTCTGTTTGATGTACAGAATCTGAAACTACGATTCTCAGTTTATACACAGTAGTTTCTTCAAAATCTAATGGTTCCACCACTGTGACTATACCAGTGTGTTGATCGATGGAAAATTTCATTCCAAGACTATCATCATAAATAAAACCAAACTGAAGTGCTGGCCTGGAGTCCGCATCACTTGCTGACACCTGAGTCACTATAAAACCAGGCAGGGCATCTGAAACAATAATTTTCAGAGTAAGTCAGAGCTAAAAGATGATGTTACACTTTCTGAAGATTTTGCCGATTTTGTAATACTGAATCTTAGATACATGTCATCTTTCTGTATGATCTTTTGGTGTATTTTGACTTTGTGTTTTACAATAACAGCAATATCCAGAAATGCTCTGGAAACAGTAGCTTTATTTCTTCAAATGCATCTGCTTTATCCCAATTTTAATTCATGTATTCTTTAGACTTTCCCAGATTTAGTGTAGCCATAACTGTTTCTTCACCAGCAACAAGAACTTCCATGGTTTTCCACATGCATGTAGGTAACATGAATTTATTGAACAGTGTCAAACTTTCACAAGAATATTTAACTGAGGCATCAGAGGCCTCTGGTCTTTGTAAAGCCAGTAACTGTAATTCTGAAGCTTTCCAAGAGGAGAAGGCAGCCACTAGAGAGAGATGAGACATCCAGCCAGACCTACATGGCACAAAAATCTTTAGAGCTCAAGATACGTTCCTGTGAGATTAAGAAACTGAATACAGATGTCTTTTATCATGTGCCACAGTGACAGTACCAGGGACTGCAAACTGAACCTATCAGTGATCATCTAACAAAGCCTCGAGCTAATAGAAACTAAACATTCCCCATTTGCATGCCTGGGGCATTAAGCCTCAAACATGTGGTGTGATGTCCTAAAGCAAATGATCTTAAACAGAATACAAAAACCTAAGTAAGTAGCCAGTAGTTGACAGCTGCTGTGCATCCATGACTCCCATACTTGTCATTACCAGTGGGAGCTAAATTTAGGAAAGCCTAAAAAAATATCACTAGAAATACAGCCTTTATATCTTTTGTTAACAGGAGTACTGGAATTTCAGCACTTAAATCTTTATAAATGTTCAGCTGTGTATCTTAATGCATCACATATATGATGTCTGTATTTGAAAATGCTGGTCTTAAGATTCAAGGTCTACAAATGTTGAGCTTATGTCACACAATATACCAGATAGAGGCTGGGATGAGAACTCAGGAGGTCCTGGGTCCTCCTCTTCATGGCCATCAACTGGATCAAGCTATAAAGCATTTTAAAGATTCATTCAAATTTATAGAAATTATTCCTTTCATCACAATGTAGTTAATGTCTAATTTCTAGCAATGATGGTTTTAACATCAAGTATTTTTATTGGAAAAAAGTAGAAATTGAAGACATCTGAAGAATATGACACTTCAGATTCAGATGTATTTCTGTAGAGTTCATTTTCCTCCTTCTGAATTGCCTATGGTTTTGCTCCAAACTATTCTTAAACAGTATCTAAAAATTAAGAATAATACCTCTGAGAACAAAAGCAGATCACAATTTACTTTGATATCCCAGTATTAATGCAATTCATTATCCTTTTTACTAGAGTCATTTGATTACACAAATCACCAAAAGCACTGTTGTTGTTTGGCAAATTCCAGTCTTAATAAAACTTAGCTGAACTATCACACTTACTTTCTGGGACCTCCACTTCATGTAGTGGCTGGACAACTGGAGCATTGTCATTAACATCTAACACTTGTATCCTCACAATACTTGTAGCAGAAAGTCTGGGCTTTCCTTTATCAGCAGCTTGTACAACCAACCTACAATTAAAGGAAGCAGTAATTGCCACTTTTGGTCAGAAATCACAGAATTATCCACCAATGTTATAAGCAGCGGAAAATTACCAAAAAAAAAAAAAAAAATTAGCCCTTTCTCCTCCTCATTGCAACTCTTAAATTCCATCTTTCTTTCTGTAAGGTTGACTGTCTGGAGTTTTATTTTTTGCGTCTTGCAGGAAAAACATCCAGCAGATTCTAGGTGGAAAAACATAACAAAAATCATAAAAGAAAAGGAAGTATTCATCTGTAGTCATTTCACTCAGTTTCGTACCAAATGGAGGTGGTTAAACAAGCTAGCAAGACTTCCAAGTAAGACACATCTCTCCAATTGGTAAGTCAGAACAGGAATTAAAACTTAAATACTAAATTGTCCATTGGAGGAACCTAACTCTCCTCTTTGTTTATAAAGCGACAACAGGAATGTTAAAATTGGGTAACATGAAAACATCCAAAGTAATATTCAGCCAAAATGTCCGCAGAGATATGAAACAGGCCTCCTATTATATTAGAAATGTGAATGATAGAGTGAAAAATCTGAATACATGCACCATTTGACAGTGGCAAAGCTCCCACTGATTTTGGTGGGACTAGAATCTCACTGTCAGCTTAAGAGAGTGCCTGTAGACTGCCATTGTACACCTGCATAATGATGGGTAGGGGATTCTGTTAACAACCTTTTGATTTACACAAACGATGCAGTAAAGAAAACAGTAAGCAATAACCCGATTAACACGGATAAAAGGATGTTTACTCTGTGGGAGCTTCTGAATAATAAAGAGCAAATATTTATTGTAAGCAAAGATTATTTGGAAGACTTCAGCCCTCTCTAGTATTAAATATTATTCAGAAGGGAATTCAAAATTAAATCTAACTCAATAGGTGCCCTAGAACAAGGAATAGGCTGAAAAAAGAAAACATCAAGCTATGGGAAAGGATACACAAGTCAGAACCTGGCATCTCAATTAAATTTTTCGTGTACTAAGAACTGTTTGCATGTCACACCGTATTTTCTGGGTCTCTGTGCAGATCTCTGAATGCTTTATTTCTCTCTTCTTCTAAGTCACAGTTTCTGTTTAAAGTGTCAGATAGATACTACTTCCTGAATGTTCACATGATAATATGGAATACCAAAGCTATAACTCAAGCTGTGGATTGCAGCACTTCCATTCCTGAAGCACACCAGCTCTGCTCTGGGTGTCCTTGTGGTTTCTGACGCTGACAGAACACATAACTTGAATTGCAGGCAGAATTCAGTCGGTGACCACGTATAATGCCATACAGAAAGCGTATTTTCTCTAGAATGAATATTGGTAAGGTATACATATGGAAATATTTTACTAAAAATAATCACTTTCTAAAGTTTCAGGAAAAAACTCTCAGAAAAATATCTCAGCCAAGGCTTTAAAACTACGGTTCTGTCAACGCTTTCATTATAACTCCTATTGTAAGGGACTTCGGACCTCTGGGGATGAAAACGTTCAATTTAGATAAAATAAACAACTCCTTGCAAATTTGAAAGAACCAATGGTAACATTTTGAAATTAAACAGGAAAACAGTTTTGAAAGATTCTTTCGCTATTCACTTTTCACCTAACAATGCACAGATTAATAAGGTATTAATAAAGAGAAGGAATATGAAGCTTCAGATTCCTTGAACAAACTGTCGATTTAAAACGCTGAATTCCAACATAAATACTGATATAAATCAGGCTCTCAGTTAAAGACAGATATGAGAATTATTACGCTTACATGTTCAATGCTTAATCAACAATAAATATCGTTCCTTTGAAAGATTTATTCAAGGCATTCTTTTAAAGTACTAGTTACAAATAAAACGTATTATGCTTTTTAAATGACTAAAAATCAGAACTGATGTTTTTGATTCAGTGAAAAACGAACTCCAAATGAGTGTTCCGTATATTAAGTAAGAACAAAGTATTTCCTTTAGGATATTATCATCAAACTACAATTTTTTTTTTTTTTTTAAAGGCATATTCTACCGATCTTTTCAATATGGTTTTCTAAAAGTTATTCTGGTTCATAATAATTCTGATGGGATGTTTAAAACTTTGAGTCCCTCGAGGACAGGAAAACTTGCAAATAGTTTAACTGATGCTACAACAATATGGGAAAAAAAAAAAGATAATTTCTACTGACATGTACACAGAAATCTACTTTTTGTAGAGACTGAAGTAGATAAAAGGGGTGTATTAAGGAATCCCCATACTCTTATTTTCTCTTCAATGCATGATTTATTTGTTTTCTAATTCCAATTATAGAATGACCTGTAAAGAAAAACTGTCACGTTCACTTGATCATATGTGCTCACAGTTTCTTAGAAAACAGGAAAAAACTAATACTTAGTACAAGACAGCTTATAGATGGAAACAGCCTACAGAAGCATCTTTATCAGATCACGGAGAAGAAAATTTCCACTGTATTCTAATTAAAGAACAGAACATGTCCCTATTTCTTGGATTTGATTTGAGTGCTTTTTCTGTGTCTTTACAGATTTATAAAAAATGGTGCCAGAGGGGAAATGTCTGTACAGTTCTTAATAAACTAAAATCCAGGAATTGTCATCATTCCTATAGTGAATCATCACACTCACTTATATCAGTAAGTGTTGCCATTGATCAAACAAGATCATGTTTCTTCCCCTAAATTTGAGAAGTATGCAAGAATTCATGGTAAAATGGGCAGCTTTAGTGCTGTTCTCAATGCTGTCTGGATTGCACGCAGGCTCTGCAGGTAATGGTTATCAACAGAAAACTACAAAACGTGTAACACGAGCAATTTCAAGTTAAAGTGAAAAAAAAGAATACATTTTTAAAAGAACCTTGCATACAAACCTGTAAGATGAAGTGCTTTCATGATCTAGGACTGTATTAGTTGCTAAAATCCCTCGTGCTGAATCAATTAGAAATGTCGCATTTTCATTACCAGATAAAATGGAGTATTCAGTTTCTCCATTCAGCCCACTGTCAAGGTCAGTTGCAAATACCTGTTTGGGAGCAAAACTGAGGCTTAATTCAAAATGACAAATGTGATTTCAGAAAGAAAAACCTTATACACAGTCATCTATTTCTTGTTACTTTCCTTTTGACTGCACAGATTTAAGTGAATAATCATATTGGTCCCCAACATGACTGTCATACGAGGTCACGAAATCTGCTCATGAATTGCAATAGGATGCACATGAATTCTTTCTTGAAGTAATTTGAAATTCAGATACATAAATCACTAGGGCTGAATGTAATCATTTTACACTGCATATAGTACTATAAGGTTGCTGCTAGAATGCTGTCTCTGGTGCATAAAAATGCACTTTCTCAGGGATCTGGGACTGGCCCTTAAAGTATTACTGTTATACAAACAGAGGATAAAATAATTATATTATTAAGCTTTCAGAGCTTTCACAGAAAAGTTCATTAATTACTTTTTAAAATACCAACCAGAAAATGTAAAAAGGGCAGAGGCAAGCTATAGACTCAACAGAATAAGTAACATTCAACAGCAGTGAACAGGTTTCTCAAAGACTCCTCTGACTCTCTGAAGAGTTGTCTTTGTATTTTTCTGGTTACTGAATAAGTATTACAATGAGCACAGGATCCAAACCATAGCAGAAGCAACCAGTCAGATTGAATAAAGGAAACATAATAGAATGTATTTAGTCATAAAATTTTGTCTACACATCTGGGTTGACTGCCTTTTGATTTTTCTCCATTCCTGGACATGTGTTTCTCTAAATACAACATCCATCAGTTTCTAATCGCTTTGCCCTGGAGGCATTTGTAGCTTGCATTTATTTATTCTCTAGAGGAGGAATATCTTTAGTACCTAACATGACCCTCACTGTGACCTGACTTGCAATGCAAGAACATGTACTGAGGAAATTCTAGTCCAACTGATGTCTTCTTTTGCTCTAACATGGCCAGCTGGAAACACTTTTGGAGAATGGATCCATTCAGAGGAAGAAGTGTTTGCACATTTAAATTAAGACAAGCTGCTCTTTAGGCATCAAATTTTAAATTGAACATTTGAGTTTGACTCTGCTAGTCTGATGAGTTGAAAGTATTCTTTTTATTGCTATAGTCCTTTCATTAGATGCACTAATGCAAGACTCAGCCAATATTGTAACCAGTACCACAGCTTTGAATGGTATTTTTCAACTACTTGAAGAAAGAAACAGAAAATTGGAAAAAAAGAATTGAAAGTCCAGCTGTACAACTAGTAAGAAGATAAAGAATTCTCTTTCAATTAAACAAATCTGAATGAAAAGTCTGAACTTCTAGAAAAAAAGTTATTGAATATTGTAGATATTCAAGCAAACTAGTAGCAACACCAAGAATTCCACTCCCAGTTTTTAAGAGACAGTGGTCCAGACGGGACCTAGCAGGATTATAGTCATGAACAGATGAAACAAACTTATTTTTAACTACAGTACTGGGCTTGGGAAGATATATTTCCACTTACCTGTATGATGTCTGATTTAGGACTTTGGCCTTCCCATACCGATGCTTTGTAATAGGTTTGCGCAAATTTAGGTACATTGTCATTCACATCTTGTATCAAAACTGTCACTCCACAGAGTGCTGAATTCAAGCCACTTTCGGCCAAAACTGAGAGATGTATTTTATTCTTAACTTCATAATCAAGAAACTTTGTCTCTTTTACTGTGATTGCACCTGGTTTGTTGAAATAAAAATAAAAAAATATTGAGATGTGACATATTCATTCAGGAAAAAACATGCACAAATGCAGTTACGAAGTCCCTAACAAATATGGTCTCTTTCGTTAAACACATGACAGAATTCCACCAAGCTCCCCATCATGTCCCTCCTTTACTTAACATTACACTTCACATGCTAGTTACCGTACCAACCTTGGAGTTGAGTTTCAAGTTTTCAACCGAGTTTTCATTTATCAACAACCATGTTGGCAATTTCCTAAAACAAAGCCAATTTACTTGTAGGGGGATAGAGAGGAAGAAAGTGGCAGCGTGACGTGCGCTCCTTGACACATGACAGTGAGCCAGCTGTGTCTGAAGAGACTCAGCAATCATCTGAGAGCGGCTACATCTAGCCCTCCATTTATATCCAAATCCAGCAATAGTTGTATCAGTCTCTGTATCTGACTGACATACAGGTAAAACACTGACTCCTGATGCCGTGGGTCTCCCTCCCAACTGTTATTCTATCAAAAATAATTGGCGAAAATTACTGAGACTACAAGAACAACTAGACATCTCCACATGAAACCTGAAATGTCCTTGGAAATCTGCAGTCATTGTTTTGATGGTCTAGGTAATATAGTAATATACTCAAAATTCTTCATTTCATCTAAAGATCAAACATAGTTCATTTGTATGTTAATTTCATTAGAATTCTAATTCAGTTTTGCATGGATTTTTCAGTAGAGATGCCATGAATATCTATATCCCAAACCTGTGACAGCATAAGAATCCATCTACTGTGGCTGTCCAAGAAAATACAAACTAATAAACACTATCTAAGATAAGCAGCAATGATTTGCTATTGTTTATGGATCTCTCCAGTGTTCAAGAATTGCATCTTGAACATAAAGATTCCAAAGCTGGCATGTGGTCTCTCTTCAGCACAACACTTAAAAATTATCACATTCTGTATACAGAAGAAGCAAAACAAGACAGTGGCAGAAGGAATACACTTAAAGATGTCAGAGAGTAACTAGAAGACTCTCGTGAAGAGTGGAGCAAATAATCAAGTTTGAGATACACCACCTAGAAGGAACAAGTGAAAGAACCAGAGTTGCTCATTCTAGAGAAATGCACATGAAGAAGAAATAGGGTAACAGTCTTCACATACGTAAATAATAGCTTTTTTGCCTTTGTCTTATGTCTGTTGTTACGAGGTTAACAAGCAATAAGTTTAAATTGTTTCAACACACATTTAGATAAATATGAATAAAAACTTTCCAACTGCCAGGAGTTGTGCAGACTACTGAGAGGGTTTGCAGATTGCTATCACAGGAGTTTTTTAAGAACACAACAAATTTCTGTCAGATTTAGGCAGAGCTGATTCCTCCTCTTATGTCAGATGACAGACTAGTTCATGTTTTTGGGTCACTTCCTACTATATTTTATACGATTCTAAAATATAATAAATCCCCCTAGAACAGGAGAAAATCTTCTCAAAAATGGGATTAATTAACATCAGTGCTCGTAAAGACAAGTGGAGTAGACCTCTGGCTGTTCAAAATACCCAAGATAGAAAGGGCATAGATAAAGCTCAAAATAATTCTGCTGTAGAAACAATGGGTAGAGAGTTACTGGTGTCAAAACTAATGCTGAGGTAAGAACTGGTCTTAAGATCTGAAAGGCTGCACTTCAATTAATGTTTTCTAAGAAACAGAAGAAACATTTCAGAAAAAAAGAAACAGAAGAAACCACAATGACTCAAATATGTCAAAAGACAACTTGTGAAATCCACTGCTATAGAAATTCCACTATTGTTTGTGAAAAGAGTGCTTATGAGACTTTTAAAAACATCATGTAACTATTTTTCAGACTGGCTTGATTAAAAAAAAAAAAGAAAATCCTATTTGATTCTTTTGCCTTTTTTTTGTTTTGGTGGGGTTTTTTTGAGGTGATATCAGAGAACATTCAAAAAAAAAGAAAATCCTATTTGATTCTTTTGCTTTTTTTTTGTTTTGGTGGGTTTTTTTTGAGGTGATATCAGAGATGTTCTGATCTTTCTTCAGGATAGACTCATCTGGTTCTAAGGTGTTCTCTAAGATTAATCTTTCTGGCTTGATCTCAGTGAAATAAGGAGGACTTGGAAATCAAGTGTATGCACTTTAAGTTTCTCTCATCTAAACAAAACAAGATAATTTTAGCTGTCCATCAGTATCAAACATGATAGCTTTACAGGAGTACACCACTGATGCCTGGGGACATCAGAATAATCAGTGATTAAAGTCTCCAGGAACTCATGGATAAAGCCATTTGTTAAGAGTACAACCTCTTTACACTATTTCTGAGGAAAACTGCCTACACTGTCTATGCCATCCCAGAAAGACTCCAGCTATTCAGAAGGCAAACTCTTTTGTTACAGATGTTTAGGAGCTGAGAGGCAACCAGACTAGCTATGCTCTCTTACGTGCCTTAGATAGGAGCATGTAAATGCACACGGCAAACGCACCACACTCCTGTCATCAGAAGTTCCTGACTGAAGAGCAAGTGAAAGCAGACCTGTTGCAGAACGCAAATACAATCATTGAAAAAAATAAACAAACATGATTTTCAGACTTGTCGAGGTTTGCCTGAAACAAAGAGCACTAAACTCAACAAGGGTATAAAGCTTCCTACGTTAGGAGTGTTTTGAAGGATTATGTTTACTGAGTTGTTGGGCAATTTTATGATAAGAAACAAGATGGAGTCTCAGCTTGGATGACAAATCAGTAGTTTGTCAACTCTCAAAACCTAGTGATCATTTGTTAATGAGAACTGAGCATTTTAAACAGGTATACCGGTGTTCAATTTCTTTCCACATCAAGTTTACAACAGTGCAGGACTCACCACATCCCTGGTTTTACTAATGATTTATTCATTGTACCAGGAGAGTAATACTCTAAGATATCTAGCCCTTGTTCTTGTAGTGGGAACTTGCTATATTTTAGAGACCACATTCTTTAAGTTATAAACAGTCACTTGGAAAAAAAAAAAAAGTACCTGTAATGGGGTGTATGGAGAATATGCTTTCCTTGTCACTGAAGATGCTGTATTTTATGTTTTCTCCTGCAAATTTGTGTTCATAAGCTTCTACATTTAGAAGTGATGTACCTGTGGAAGCAGCAAGACATTTTCATCACGTGCACTTTAGAAGATTTTATCCTGATTTTACATTACTGTGATTAATAGCTGATGCACAGACAAATACCTATGTACTAGGCTAGGTGCTCATTCACAATTTAAAATAGTAGAAAATCAAACCAACTCCCCCGTGACATTTCACAGTATTGCAACTTCATACGCAAGGCACTGTCTATCTCTCCTTGCCAAGTAAATTACTCATTTGATTACAACTGCATCACCTACCTAAATAAAATTATGAGGTTTTTAACTTTTCCTAATTGCAAACTCCTGCATACCACTGGAACTACTTCTTACCTGAAGTCATATTATTTTATTATTAGTCCTTTTATTCAGGTTATGCTGTCTTTTAATCTCACCTTTTCATGAATTCTTTTAAGAAAAATAGTTCTTTTTTGTGCGTCTTAAGAATGCATGTTACCCCTGAATCACCATAAAAAGCTTATTTTCCCTTCATTTACCCAAATTTAATTTGGATTTTTGAACAATATTTTAAATGAAATATTCTTTAAAACTTTAAATAGTCATCTTCTGACAGGGAGAATGAAATGATGAAACTATATGCATAGCTATATGCCAAAGTAATCAAAGTCAAACAGAATCCAAATTCAATGTAAAGAGCAATAATTTAATACAGAACACAAAAGACATGAAATAAAAATCCTGTTTGAAATGGGATTAGAGGAAAAACATGGAACTGAATACATTAAACGATGATTCTGATGAGGATAAGAAAACTGCAGCAACTTTAAAAAGCATTATCAAGATTTCCAAATAATTATTCTTTTCAAGTAAGTTAAGAAATTGTTTAGCATATATGACAATTGATTTTGACAGATTTAAATTATTTAATTGTAATTGATTCCATGTAACAGTGATGGAATGAGGTCATTATGCAATCTGAACTCTTCTAAACATCATTACAGACAACTAGCTATTTTTTTACATTACAAAGGGCATGCTCTTCACACTCAGTGTCCTGGATTTTGGAGAGAAGGACTTTATCTTTAGTGTAAAAAATGAGAGGAACTGCTGCTCTTACTATTATCTGCTAACTTTTTTATTTTATCATTGTTGCTCACTAATTTTTTAAAACAGGAAATTTTGGATTAAATGATTTGTCATTTCCTACTGGACTCAGGGGGTACGTTAGTCAC